GGGGGGGGGAGGATCCATACCTCAATACGTGCATCGTACCCGAACATCCAAGGCTGGAATTGTAGATCACTCCATTTGTTAGGGTTAACAGCACTATCTGCGACTTTACACTGGTTTTCAGACTGCTGCGGCGGTTTGCCCATCTTTTTATCCCGCTCCTGCTGCGCAGGCCCGTCAGGAAGGTGCCACACGGCACCATTATTCCGCGCACCATCCAAAATTAAGTAGCAGTAGCAACGACCAAGACGAATGTCCTGGAACTTTACCATATCAGGAATTTGTGCTTTTACGGAAACATGGTCCAGGCATTCACCAAGTGTAACCGCGTCTTCCACGGCCATGGCGGCCCTTGGCCCATATATGCGACCATAGCGTGGCTAGAATCCCCGATCAGCACCACCTTTCCGGACTTTGCCACCCAAGTCTCGAGCTTCTCAATCTCAGCATTCCGCCATTTCAGACACTGCGGGACAAGTGCGATGAGTTTGCAGATAACCGGATCCCATGTTTTGTATCTTTCGTTCATGTCATCTATGCTCGCTCGCCCGTTAGGTTGCCCAACGGGCACCGAACCAGGATGACACATGACGAAATTTATAAGGCTCCGTTGCAAATGGGATACGCCATGATGTGGCCGTCGGGTCCGATCCAGCAGTTCGCTGCGGGACGTTCTATAAGCGCTTTTAGTTCCGGGTCATCCATCATGAGTTACCCCGGAATCAATGTCCGGTACGCGCAGTTCGGGTCCTGGATGATCTCCACGTCTCGATCCGTGACCACTGCCTTTCGGACCTTCGACTTGATTCCTAGTAAAGGTTGTTAGCCAAAATGCAATTAGCCTGAGGATATGCGAATGCCTGAACAGCGTACCGTCTGCACCAATCAGCAAATCCGCCCTATGAACGGTACCGTCCTTAAGTATGACCGAAGAAGCCGATTCGTTGACCTCGGAGACGAAGGCATCGACCTTAATTTCTGCGCCCACCTCGTAAGCGCGGTCCAGGAGTACCTTGTGCAGGTCTCCTCGGTGAATTAGGAAGTAAGGGTAGCCATGTACTTCGTCCATCCGGGGATACAACGGGGTCTTGGTGATGTTTGCTCCATTTTCCCATCTTTTAAGTGTAATAGAGCGCGGCCAGGTGGCGAGCTTCGATATCTGCGAAATGAATGTTAGATATACTCTCTGGGTCTGGTCAGAGGAGTGTTAGATGTACCGGCTCATAGACACCAAGTTGCCTGAGAAGTTGCACTGAGTTCGGTGGGACCTGGATACCCGCTCCAATATCAGAGAACTAGCCGGAATTTATCAGCTCTCAGTCTTGTATGAGGCACAGACTAATGGGGAGACTAACCTGTGGAGCAGCCTCAAGGACCGTCATCTGGTGTCTCTTTTCTCGTAAGGCAATAGCAGCAGCAAGGCCCGCAATTCCCGCACCAACAATGACAATAGCAAATCTTCCTCTAGCCATTGTTGTCAACTTAGCATAGTCGCCGACCCAGCAGATCCCTATGGTTCTCTATGTATGATTCTCTGAAGCGGAGTGGTAAGGTAGACTAGAACGGAGATAGGTGCTTCTTCGTAGACAAAAAAGTGTTCTTGGGGAGGTAAGGCGAAGGAAGCTCATCTGAACTCCCCGATATGGAAGCTGCCCTCCGTGGAAGGTTTTCTAAATGCCTAAGACAGTTTAGCTGGACGTATGTTCTGGGGAGTAAATAAACCTCTTGCTGTTCCAAAGTCGCCTCCATAGAGTTGTCCGTGACCCTGGCGGGCCAACCCTATAGGACTGTGTTTCCGAGATCAGGAAACCGAAGGTCAGGAGTATTTTCGCGATGTGTTTTACGTTAATTCTGCGTTAATTTCTTCACACGAAAATTGAACTGGTGCGAGGATATGCCCATTACCATGTCGGTACAGATTTCGCACATTAGTTGACTCATTTCTGTACCTTTGTTCTAACTTATTGACTGGCGCAGTTTTAGTAGCGAAAAATAGCCCCACGAGAAACAATGCACAGCTTCAATTGTGAGGGGTATTGACCAGCAGGTACAAGATTTCGAACTCCGGATGACCTCCCCACTGGCTGTCTTGCTAATCTATCTAGACTACCAAGCTTCGGTCAATGGCAAGGCTTCAACCAAGAGAGCCCGGACTCAAAAGCTCATCAAGTCTATCACAATCTAAAAAGGTTGCTCTCAGCTCACTGAACACTCTGCGTTTTCCGGTCTTATTGAGATATCTCAGCGGGTTCCACCGCCGCGGGAAAAACTGCTTGCACAATTATTGGACGCAAACTAAACTTCGAATACCACCCGCATATATCGTCCCATATTCAAAGCGGGCTCCACGAGAACTGGGCCATCTTGGCCGCAAACAAAGCCATCTCGGGGGAAAAAGCTCGAGAAATAAAATAACATGCCGAGTCCAAGCCAGAAGAAACGCCACCTCCCGTAATCACTTGTAGCCCGTTTTCTTTAACCCCGCCATCCACATACCTGGCCTGCACTACCTCAGTCCTACCCTCCCTCTCACAGATTGCTCGTAGGTCATCAAGGAATAAATGATGTGTAGTTGCGCTTAGCCCGCTGAGCAAACCGCAAGCTCCTAGAAAATGGGCTCCAGTGCAGATGGAGAGGATGGTTCTCGGTCGCTTGCTATCTTCGCATGGTAAGCGCACAAAGTCCTTCACAATCTGCAGCACTTCTGAGTTGCTCTTAACGAGAGCATAGACAATGGACGGCGGTCCGCCAGGAACAACCAGAATGTCGAATTCATCAAGTTTGGATCGCGCATATGCCACGGAAACATCCGGGATGATTTTGACGGCAGCACTAGTCGAGATTACATCGGAAGCACCGATTGTAGTGAGTTTGAAGGCCGGATCGGGCGCTGTGTAGTCCATACCGTAATGGACATGCGAGAATATTTCCAGAGGCCCCGCAAAATCCAGCACATCAACTCCGTCGAATACGAGGAAACCCGCATGTAAGGCAGAACGATGAAATGCCATGATTCAATAGCCAACCGAGCAATTTTAAGCCGGTGTATGAAGTATTGTTGAAGAGGGAATAAAGATAGATGAGCCTGGGAAATCAGTCGAACTCCAGATAAAGAAGATAAAGACGTCAGAATTAAAGGGAACTGTTGATATAAACGAAGGCGGAATATTATACAGGCAGCAAGGCATACGGCCGTAAATGGCCTCTTCTCGGCGGATTGGTTCTGCTAGGGATATATAGCCATGATAGTGAGGGAACTTCTGAATGCATGAAGCGGCAGTCTATATGACGATTCAGAACTTTGTGATATATAAGATTTTCTGCGCGCAGTATAGCAATATAGGCACATATTCTCTTCCAAGGGGCCCCTATGTGTTCTCCTCCCTATAATCATCTACCCCTAGTGGCAGAACTGTTCGTAGACAGATAGGTAGAGGCGGGTCTCCCTACAGGTTCCCCTTTTCAACATCTATAATTATTATTAGTAGCCGAAGAGATTTTTTTTGATAATTTTCAGCTTGAAAGAAGACGCGAAGCACTGTTTCACGACCCTTGCAGGAAGAGTTATTATCTATGTACGACCTATTCCAGCTTCTCGACTTGGCTCTAATTGACCTCATTACCACCCTTCTCTCCGTATCAAGTTGACCGACTCTTGTCCAGTATACCTCCCTTTACATCAAACGAGAGCATCCCGATACTTTATTACTCGTACAGGTACCTACAATGCGTTAAGCACTTTAAGGAGGCGAATATTCCTACCAACTTACCTCGAGATCATCTACAGAAGACTTTACCAGAGAATTGTTGAAATACGGCGTAAAACAGTATAGTGATGATCGTGTTATCTCTTTTTGTTTGCACATGGAGGTAAATGACATGCTATCCAATATAGTAGGGCCTTCGAAACATCTTTCTCCAGCGCGTGATTCAAGTACGTTCTTTGTCGGACGTGCATATCCAGTTCAGGCCCACAGAAGGTAGTTCAGTGATAGACCGTGATGCATTACCATGGTATTCATAGTCGGCCAAGGGGAAGTCTTTCGTGATGTCAACATTAGTTGGCGAGAGAGGGGCTCCTCGGGTGATATCAAAATTGATTCGTGTGCTTGGACGCTCTGGGGTGATGCTGGACGCTTGGGGTGATGCGGGAGCGACTAGGCTGGCATAACTACTCGCACATACAAAGCATATAAAACCAGCTTGAAACAGTTGAAACTACGAATTCGCTGATGAGGGTTCACTAGCTAGCACTGTTAGTATTGAAGACAGAAGAATGGACATACATGTGACGTAGATGTATTACTATTCTGGATTTTTTTCCTAGTAGTAATCCTATATTCCTAGTAGTAATAAGGTTATATTTTATTATTATACTTTTAATATAACTATCTTAATATAGCTATAATTTATTCTAGTCTCTATCTCTAATAATATAGATATTTAAGAACTAACTAGTATCTAGTTCTCTTAATTCCTACTATTTCTTAATATCTAGATCTAATTATATAGCTTTCTTAGTATATATAGGATCTAGGTAGTTAATAATAATAATATTATCTATATAGAAGAAGATAATAATCCTACCTATTATAAAGATATAAGGATCCTTAGGGATAGGAATCAGGCTTAGTTTAACTAGTATCTAGGTCGCTTCCTATTACTAAAGTCTTAGTAATATATATAATCTATAGAGAGCTTTATATAATAACTAATAATAGCCCTTTTATTTAAATCTTAGTAGGTACTTAATATATACCTTACTTTATAGGACTAAGTTTAAGAATATTATAATAATATCTCGCTATCTTATATTAAGGTTAAAGGCTACTACTAATATAAATATCGCCCTTACTATCTTAATAGCTAGTGTAGCGGCTCTTTTCTCTTTAGTAGATATCTATTAAAGATCTCTATAAATATATATTTATACTTTGAACTTCTTAAATATACTATTAGTATTAAATTTATATATAAATACCTATTTTAGTGGTAGGACTTATATACTTCTCTTATTTAGGGTTAGAACCTATAAGAATATCTCCTTTTTAATTAGAGTCTATATCTTAAATCCTATAGCTATTATAAATTCCTTACTAAAAGGGTGACTTATTATCTATTTCTAGGTCTCTAGTAGTAATAGTATCTTATCTTAATAGTACTTTCTGATATTAAATTACTTACTTATACTTATTATAAATATATATAGTAGGCTTAGTGGTTTATTATTAATTAAGAGGTATATAGTATAGTCTAGATCTACTCTTAGTCTCCTAGATCTAGTATTAGTAATAATATTTAATAAATTAATATCTCTAGATATATCTCTTAGTACTTAATAGGATAATAATACTTAGGATAATAATACTTAGGATAATAATACTTAGGATAATAATACTTAGGATAATAATACTTAGGATAATAGTAAGTATACCATTTCTTACCAGAGCTAGTACTCTATCTTTTCTTCTTCTTTATTAACCTCTTCTTATTCTACCCTTTCTTATTCTACCTCTTTAGTTATAACTAATAGTATAATAGAGATTAGATCTAGCGATAATAGGATAGTTTCTTAGTAGGCTAGTCTTAATAAAATTACTAGATTTAGAGATTATAAGGTTATTTATAGTAGTAGAAATAATAATAGCGATAATAATAAGGATAGAGAGGATAGAGAGGATAGAGAGGGCTATATAAAACTACCTAGTATCTTATATATTTACTCTCTCTTTATTTAATCTTTCTTTATTAGATCCTTTAGTCTAATATTAGACTATAGGGTAGGTAAACTAGATACTATTTTAATATCTACTTAGATTAGGGTTCTTTCTCTTTTATCTATCGCTCTCTCTCTTATTTTATTTAACTCTTCTATTAATAACCTTATTATTAACCCTATTTCTATCTATTTTATTAAAAGCTTTATTATTTCCTAATTTAGTAGGTCTAGTTTTATTAGTAGCTTACTTAATATACTTAATTTTATTAGCTAGAGTAATCCTAACTACTAATTTAGGTATTTATATCTAAATACTAATTTTAGCCTAAGCTTCTTCTTTAATAAGTACCTTTAGCTATATACCTATACCTAGCCTATCTATTATAGTATTAATAGTATCTTTTTTATTAGGACTTAGCCTTACCTTTAAATACTACCTTAATTTATTAAATATAATATCCTTAATAATATCGACCCTTCTTATATTAGTTTAACCTTTATAAGGGAACTATACTTTATATAGGTTCTTAGAGATATACCTAATAAGATATCCTATCTCTATTCTAGGTATTATCTTATTTAACTATACTCTCTTAATAATTCTTAAGTATATTAAGTAGTTATATAAGCTTATATTTAATAGGTTAATAGTTTAGTATTATATACTATCTAGTATTATATATTTTATAAGCTCTTTCTAAAGTATAATCTATTTATTATAAACCTTAGTTAGTATCCTATTTAGGATATATACTATTATATATATTACCTTAGGCTATAGGTTATAAGGAAGCTCTATATTATTAATTAATACTTTAGTAGTTTATACTATTATCCCCTTAGATCTCTTAATAAGACTATTTATTTCTAATAAGTTAGGTAGAGAATATTTAATTATATATCTTTTAGCTTTAATTATTAATTCTACTTCTTATCTAGCGCTTATGAAGGGACATAGCCGGTCTTGATTTAAACTAACTAAGCCGTTTATAGTTATCTAAAAGCTTAAGGAGAGAAGTAGGAGCTAGTAGGGTTAAATATAAATAAAAGGGGATATAAGGAAGGTTATATATATATATATAATATTAACCAGGCACTAGCCTATTATAATACCCCCCTTTTCCTAGTAGTATCTATTTATATATAGAGAGTACCTATATATATATAGGGGTATATTCCCTAAGAGATATTATTTATTTGTATGTTCCTATAATATTCCTTAAATATATCTAATATAATATAATCCTCTAATTTATCTAATCTTTACTATATTTATTCTATAAAGCTAGCCTATTTTACTAATACTTTTTATTAATAATTTCTCCTAATCCTTTATATATATATAACTAAGATCTCTTTAACTTTTTATTCTAATTTATTATTAATAATAATTAGTAGAGGTTAGATATTATCTATAATCTAAGAAAGGAGGGGATCTAATACTATAAGTTATATTAAGTCTATATAAAAGATAGGGTAAATCCTATATAGGACACTTAGCTCTACTATATATAAAGATAGAATATTAATAATAGTATACCTTCTATATAACTAGTTTAATTTATTTAATAGTTATAAAGATATAATATTTTATAGGTATAACTATACTTTATCTCTTATATAGTAGACTAATATAGCTTAGTATATATAATTTACTTATTCTTATTATTTATCTTAGGTAGTAGCTATTACTACTTATATCTAATTAGAAGTTTTATAAAGATATTTTATAAAGTCTATATCTACTTATTTAGGACTACTTTTATAATCTTAGAGGTTTCTATTATCTTTTAGTCTAATTAGATTAATATAGTATCTATATATAAAAAAGAATAGTATTAAACTAATTAATAATATCTCTTAATTATTAATTATAATAGCTATAATTAAGAAGAGATAGGATTAATCCTCTTATAAATAAGCTATAAAGGTTTATAAAATCTATTCTATCTCTTAATTTATTTATTTTATTATACTATTTATTTAAGGATAAAAGGCTATTAATAGTTATTATTAGATTTTTAGATTTTTTATATATTTCTTTTTAGAAACTATTTATAAATTAAAAGCTATAATTAGTTATAATTATAAGTAAGAGCTTATAATATATATAGAAGTAGTCTATAAATATTTAGGCTATAATATTATTTATAATAGAGTTTATAATAATAAGAATAATACTCTTTATAAGCTAATCTATAATAAT